GTACCCCTGGTTTGATGTAGTATCTAAAATCCCCACCATTAGCCACTCTTATGGATAGAAGGCACATGTGCCATCCACGAGGGAAAAACATTTATTTGGTAGACTGTGCCATTAGAACAACAGCCACTTGGACCCATAATGACTTGGAGGCAGAAGACGACTGCCGTGACATTTTATCCCCTACCCTCACTTATCTAGAAAGGACTAGGTCTGGTCCTTAAGGGAAATGCTTTCCTTTTAAATTCTCTAAGCCCAGTTGGCTGCTTTGAAAGCTCCACGTTTTCAAAAGTTAAGTTTACCCCTACTATCTTAAGGATCTCACTTGAGCACTCTTGGACTTTTGGCATGGATCCCTGCAGAATTACAATGCCCCAAACCCTGCCTTCTTTTCTGGGCCCTTCTCCCACTGGCCCCCAAATATTACCCCATCACCACCCTCTAGGGCCCCATTTCTTTTGAGGTTTTGCCAGTAAATCCCTTAAGTTATTGTCTAAGTCAGTATGAGCTGCCTTAGCAGGATAAACTGGGGCCTGGAGATCTCAATCCAGGAAGATTAGAAAGTGCTTCTTAAATAGGTTCAGTAGTTAAAAATAGAGCCAATCTCCCCATTAATATTTCTCTACTCTAAAAGGGAGGTTATCAAAGTTGTGAGAACATACACTGTTTCCGAGAGATACGATACAGCTATTTTCACATTGAAAGAGTAGAAAATGCCTCTTGAAGGCCAGGCATGGTGGCTCATGCCTGTAATCCTAGCAATTTGGGAGGCTGAGGTTGGTGGATCACTTGAGGACAGGAGTTCAAGACCAGCCTGGCCAACTTGGTGAAACCCCATCTCTGCTAAAAAAAAAAAAATACAAAAAAATTAGCCAGGCATGGAACCCAGAAGGCAGAGGTTTCAGTGAGCTGGGGTCACACAGCTAGCTGCACTCCAGCCTGGGTGACAGAGCGAGACCTTGTCTCAAAAAAAGGAAAAAAAAAAGAAAACGCCTCTTGTAAACATTTTTATTTGATTTTTCTTCTCTCTCCTTTTTTTTTTTTTTTTTTTTTTTTAGACATGGTCTCTCTGTTGTTCAGTCTGGTCTCAAACTCCTGGGCTCAAGTGATCCTCCTGCCTCAGCTTCCCAAATAGCTAGGATCACAGGTACGTGCCACCATGCCCAGCGACTTTTATTTTTCTTCAATAAAATTTTATGTAAAACATTTCCCAGAGTGAAGAGTTCTAAAGTTTTGGGGTAGATTAGTAAAACATAAAAATTAAACAAAACAAAGAAAGATATAAAGAAAACTCAAAATCATTAGGTGACCAAAAGCACATTAAGGAAAGATTTCCAAAACTTGGAAATAGGGAAAAGGGATTACTCCCTTTCTTCTCAGGGTGCTGCTGGGCTTTGTCTAGTAAACGTACCCAAAGATTTATCTGACGGGCTAGGGGCGTGTGCCTTCCTTTGAATTGCTACTCTATTGAGTATTTAACTAGAAGACTAACTGGTAGAAAATGAATACGAACTTAAATTAATTTTGTCCTATAGAGATGCTGATTATTTCTGTCCTTTAGAGAAGACAATCCCAAAGGTGACAGTTACTGTAGAATATTAACCAGTTTTCACTGGGCACAGTGGCTCACGCCTATAATCCCAACACTTTGGGAGGCCGAGGCAGGGGTGGATCACCTGAGATTGGTAGTTTGAGACCAGCCTAGCAAACATGGTAAAACCCCGTCTCTACTAAAAATACAAAAATCAACTGGCCATGGTGATGGGTGCCTGTAATCTCAGCTAATTGGGAAGCTGATGCAGGAGAATCGCTTCAACCCAGGAGGCAGAGGTTGCAGTGAGCCGAGATTGCACCACTGCACTCCAGCCTGGGCGACAGAGTGAGACTCAGTTTCAAAAAGAAAAAAAAATTACCCAGTTTTGTATCTAAATTGGCAAACTTTTGCATTCTTTCTTTTAGCCACTATAAGGCTTCACTCTCTTTAATTCTCTTTGAACTAGCCTTACCATTTTGCTGGTTCCTTCATTAATGAGTTAACTAAACATTTGACGTGTGCTCATTTTTTTATTTGCATGAGATTCATGTTTTTTAACTTTTTGAGAAGTATACTTTCTCAGTAAGGTTGGCAAGGTTTATTCTGTCAAGTAAAAACAGAAAATTTATACCATCTACTATCTCCATAAAAGTAAATACATTTAATACAAAAAATGAAGGCTATAATGGGAGGTAAAGGACAATATTTAAATGGGTAGTGTAGGAGACCAGAATGTGCCACCCCAAAATATGCCTCTTTGGCATAAAGACTATTTTGAGCTGATTATTTTGAGAAACAGCAGACACAGGAGAAGCTCTAAAAACAGAGTAGAAGTTACCCTTTTGTAAGGGAAATTTACATCTATAAAGAAAACCTCCATTTGTAAGGGTGTCTCCCTCTTTGTACCAGGAAGAGAAGGGTAACTAAATCACAGGAAACTCTTTTCAATGGAGAAGGCACCAAATTAAATCTGCACAATAAACTTTAATCTTGTTTACCATGCTTTTCCTGGTCATATCCTTATAACCAGCATCCCCCATACTCTTTTTCCTTTGATTTTTAGCTGAATATGCAATATAAGCCTGAATTCTAAGCTACCTCTTGGAGAGTTACACATTTTCTCCTGGCTATTTCCCACGTATAGGAAGGAAATTAAAATATTTCACCCCAAGATATACTTCTTTGACATGTTTTGAGACTGCTGTTCAGAGGGCCTGCAAACAGAAGTAGCCCTGCAAAGCTGTCTTTTGTGGGGAAGATTTGCATCTGTAGAGAAAATCTGCGTTAATGCAGCCATTTTTCTCTGCATTTTCTCTTTCCTCTAAAGCCTTCCCTTCTCTGAATCTAGCAAAGATTAACTGAGAGTCTTGTAACCACCCGATGGGTTCACCTTGTTCAGTGCCTAGACAGAGCGAATTTATCAAGACAGGGGAATTGCAATGGCGAAAGAGTAATTCATGCACAGCTGTCTGTGTGGGAGACTGGAATTTTATTATTACTCAAATCAGTCTCCCTGAGCATTCAGGGATCAGTTTTTAAGGATAATTTGGCAGGTATGGGCTCAGGAAGTCGGGAGCGCTGATTGATCGGATTGAAGATAAAATTACAGGGGGTCAAAGTGAGTTCTTGCTGACTTCTGTTCCTGGATGGGATCACAGGACTGGTTGAGCCAGATTAGCAGTCTGGGTGGTGTCATATGCTGCACTGGAATGCAGGGTCTGCAAAAGATCTCAAACACTGGTCTTAGGTTTTGCGACAGTGATCTTATCCCCAGAAGCAATTTGGGGAGGTTCAGACTCTTCTAGCCAGAGACTGCATGGTTCCTCAATCATAATTTCTAATCTTGTGGCTAATTTGTTAGTCCTACAAAGACAGACTGGTCTCCACCCAAGAAGGGCTTTTTTTTCAGAAAGAGTTATTATCAATTTTGTTGGTTCAGAGTTTAAACTATAAGCTAAATTCCTTCCCAAGACTAGTTCAGTCTACACCCAGGAATGAACAGACAGCTTAGAGGCTAGAAGCAAGATGGAATCAGTGAGGTCTGATCTTTTTCACTGTGATAATTTCCTCAGTTATGATTTTTGCAAAGGCAGTTTCAGTCTGACACCTTTAAAAGTCTGAAAGTGTAACCACCTGATGGGTTTGTCCTGCCCACTGCACAGGCAAAACCAATGCACTGAGACCACAGCGTTGCAATAAAGAAAGAGTTTAACAGATACAAGGCTGGCCACGCCACGTGGAAGACTGAATTATCACTAAAATCAATCTCCCTGATAAATGCAGAGGTTAGGGTTTTCAAGGATAGTTTGGCAGGCCAGGGAGCCTGCTTTTGGGTAGGGCCACATGACCAGGTGGCAGAGATCAGCACGTCTGAGTGGAGCCATTGGTTCATCCGTGGTCAGAAATGCAAAAACCTGAAAAGATATCTCAAAAGACCAATCTCGGCTGTGCGCAGTGGCCCATGCCTGTAATCCCAGAACTTTGGGAGGCCATGGTGAGCGGATCACCCGAGGTCAGGAGTTTGAGACCAGCCTGACTAATATGAAGAAACCCTGTCTCCACTAAAAATACAAAATTAGCCAGGCCTGGTGGCACATGCCTGTAATCCCAGCTACTCGGGAAGTTGAGGCAGGAGAATGACTTGAATCCGGAAAGCGGAGGTTGTGGTGAGCCGAGATCGGGTCACTGCACGCCAGCCTGGGCAACATAAGTGAAACTCTGTCTCAAAAATAAAATAAAACAAAACAACAGCAACAAAAGACCAATCTTAGGTTCTATTAGGCTGGTGCAAAAGTAATTGCAGTTTTTGCAATTAAACGTAATAGTGATGTTATCTGCAGGAGTAACTGGGAGAGTTGCAAATCTTATGACCTCCAGAATAATGGCTGGTAATTGTTTATGTTTACACTTTATCAGAATTCAGCCTGCTCACATCATGCTAACCTGGTAGTCTCTCATTAGCTTTACAAAGGTGATTTAGTTTTGGGGAAGGGTTATCATCATTTAAACTATAAACTAAATGTCTCCCAAAGTTAGCTTAGTCTAAGTCCAGGAATGATTAAGGGCAGTTTGAAGGTTAGAGGCAAGATGGGGTTGGTTAGGTTAGATCTCTTTCACTGTTATAATCTTCTCACTGTTAGAATTTTTGCAAAGGTGGTTTCAAAAGAAACATTTATCATCTATTCTGAGGACTGCTACCTGTGAGGTTTCATCTGCATAACAAGACTACCTTTGCCAGTCAGGCCTCCTTCCCGTGCCAGAACCTGTTTTGCCACAACCAAAGCCCCCATTCTTTCTGGAACCTCAAGATGACATGTAAGCTTCAGAACCCTATTGCGTGGTAGGGATAATCACTCTGCAGTTCTCTCCCATATGCACGTTAATACATTTGTATTCCTTTTCTCCAATTAATCTGCTATTGTTAGTTGATTTTTCAGCAAACCTTCAGAGGGTAAAGAGGAAGTTTTACCTTGGCCCCTGCAGTTTTGGCGCTGTGAGCAGGATACCAAATCTCTGCTCTTCAGGAAGCTGCAGTCATGGGAACCAGGGACCTGATGAGAGAGGAGAAAGGAAAAAACCGGTCAGGCAGGCAGTTAGAGTGGATCCTTGAATTATTTCACACAAAAGAACGCCCTAAAAAAATCATGCTGGAGGCTGGGCGCAGTGGCTCACGCCTGTAATACCAAAACTTTGGGAGGCCGAGGTGGGCAGATCACGAGGTCAGGAGATCAAGACCATCCTGGCTAATACAGTGAAACCCCATCTCCACTAAAAAAAAAAAAAAAAAAATTATCCGGGCGTGGTGACGGGTGCCTGTAGTCCCAGCTACTCTGGAGGCTGAGGCAGGAGAATGGTGTGAACCCGGAGGCAGAGCTTGCAGTGAGCCGAGATCATGCCACTGTACTCCAGTCTGGGAGACAGAGTGAGACTCTGTCTCGAAAAAAATATATATACACACACACACACATATATGTATATGTATATATATACACACACACACACATATGTATATATACACGCACACATATTACACACACACATATATGTGTATATGTGTGTGTGTAATATGTATATGTAGTAATATGTATATTGCACACACATATATGTGTATATATATTACACACACATAGATGTGTATATATGTATATATTATATGTGTGTATATATACACACACATATGTAATATATACACATATATGTATATATACACACACATATATATTGCACACACACATATATATGTGTGTATATATATGTATATACATGTGTGTGTGTAAATATATAAATTAAACAAGCATGGTGGTGCACACTTGTAGTCCCAGCTACTTGGGAGGCTGAGGCAGGGGAATCCCTTGAACCCAGGAGGTGGAGACTGCAGTGAGCTGAGATCACACCATTGCACTCCAGCCTGGGTAACAGAGCAAGATTCCATCTCAAAAAAAAAAAAAAAAAAAAGGGCCGGGCGCGGTGGCTCACACCTGTAATCCCAACACTTTGGGAGGCCAAGGTGGGTGGATCATGAGGTCAAGAGATTGAAATCATCTTGGCCAACATGGTGAAACCCCATCTCTACTAAAAACACAAAAATTAGCCGGCTGTGGTGGCAGGTGCCTATAGTCCCAGTCACTTGGGAGACTGAGGCAGAAGAATCACTTGAACCCGGGAGGCGGAGGTTGCAGTGAGCTGAGATCGTGCCACTGCACTCTATCTAGCCTGGCAACAGAGCGAGACTTTGTCAAAAAAAAAAAAAAGAAAAAGAAAAGAAAAGAAAGAAAAGAAAACAAAGGCTAAATTAGCACATATCTAAGTAGATTGCCATTTAAGTGATTATTTTGAAAAGACTTCTGAATTTCCTCTAGGCTTTTCTATATGTTTCCTTGTAAAACCCTACAGTGAACTCATGATACCGTATTACCTTGGCATCCATTTTTAATCTTCCCCTAACATACCTAAACTTCTTGAAAAAGCTTAAATTCTCTCTCTGTGCTTTGAGATATAAATTTGCCATTCAGTTTTCTCTAAAACTTGGTAGGGGCCTTCGACTGTGGGAGAGATAAACTTTAACCTTTCCCACTTACAAAGGCACAGCGTGAATCCAACCATCTTAATTTTTTTCTAGACAGGGTCTCTCTCTGTCACTCAGGCTTGAGTAGCATAATCAGGGCTCACTACAGTCTCAAACTCTCCAGGCTCAGTAGATCCTCCCACCTCAGCCTCCTGAGTAGCTGGGACTACAGGCACATGCCACCATGGCCAGGTAATTTTTTGTATTTTTTGTAGAGAGGAGATTTTGCATTTTGCCCAGGCTGGTCTTGGACTCCTGGGCTCAAGCAATCCACCCATCTTGGCCTCCCAAAGTGCTGGAATTACAGGTGTGAGCCACCACTCCTTGTCGATCTAACTCTCTTGTGGTTGCCCAAGACCACGCTTCTGTCTGTAAGTTCCCCAGCAAAATCATCTCTATGATGACATGCTGGACTTGTCTGCCTCCTTTGGTTTCCTGGCTCCTTCTGCTTATCAGGGTCACTTTGCCTATATGACCCTTTCACAAGACACAAGTTAATGTGACGTTAGCAGTCTTTGGTTTATATTTACTTTTTTTTTTTTTTTTT